CGTACCCAGCGTCGTCGTGATGTAGGAATTACACCTCACCTGCGCTGCCTACACGGGCGCTCTCGTAATTGTCCGAGGTGGGTGAGTGTGCGCCGTGCTAGAGCAGGTACGCCGAAAAAAGCACAGCCGGGCCGACTCGAGCAGACGCGACACTGGTCCGAGGCTGAGCAACGCGTTCGCATCACGAAACCCGCGATAGAGTTGGATTTCCAGGGTCCTGAAGAGTCATACCCTCGGTGCCGATGCCATTTGGTCGGATATCCGGTGCCGTGTGGGATTCGATAGGTCCGACTGTGGCTGCAATACCGTAATCACTGGCGGCATCCCTCCGATAGCCTCAGCTGTCAGACTGAAACTGTCGCACCGACAATTTACTTTGTACTGCACTCTGCGACTCACTGGTAACCTCGTGAACTCTCAACTCACCCCTCATTTGCTTTTCTCGTCGCCTTGTAAGGCTTCGGCTGCGCCCTGGTGCTCATCTTACCCCCGTCCAAGCGTCGCTTCCTGGCAATGTCGGGCTGTTTCCGCATGCAGCTTTGGTCGCCCGGGAATCAACACCGAATCTTTTTTTTCCACGATTGACATCATCACCGCGTTCACGAGTTGTGCGCATGCAGCAGCCTGATCTGCACGGTGCGCTGGATTTGCCCGAACAGCTCTGCTTGACATGCGAAACCACGACGCCCCGGGCCACCGTCCGAGCCTCGCCGCGTCGCTACCACAGAGGCTGCCTGCCCAACGGCGGCGCCTTCCCGGATTGCTTCACTTTCTCGCTGGCACCTTCTTGCACTGTCTGTGTCTCCAGTTGTTTCACCACCCTCGACGGCAGTAGCTCCGCATGAGGTATGCCATTGTGCGACATTCCCATCATCGATCCCCCCACCACCACCACCTCTCACCACCTCACCATCTACTGCGACACCTATCCGCCCATCTAACTTTGCATCCTCACCCCATCTCACGTAATGCGTTCGACCGCATCCTAGGGCACCACCACCACACCCCGCCGGTCCTTTTTCCTAGAGTCGGCACGATCCGACCAACCCATGCTATTCGGCAATTATATCGCGGGCCTTGTCATTCTCTCGGTGCTACCTCTGCTTTTTATCCTGGCGCGCTTCTACTCAAAGCGAACGCGACTACTGCCATGGACTATTGATGATACGTTTTTGGTGTTGGCCCTGGTATGGCCTGACCCCTATACAGAAGGCACTCTCTAACCACGTCGGGTAGCTCCTTCTCTACGTGGTGATGGCAATGTTTATTGTTTGCGAGTCGCCCACGTCTGCGATTCATACTGTGTTGCTAATGCGACGAAGCAATGGCTGCTAGTCTTGTCCGTGAACAAATGATGACAGCTACCATGACGGAGCTCAAGCGAACGCTGATAGTAGGATGACTTTCGTATAGTGAGGCAAGAGCTCACACGTACAGATACTGTGGCTCTTCCGGCTCCCACTAGCCATAGGCACAGCCTTTACTCGATGCGCGATCCTCGTCTTCTTTATTCGGACCTTATACACCAAGACGTACAGCTGGCTGAGATACGGTGGTATTGTCAAACCTTACACATCCACCACCATCCGGTATCCACATGTTTACTAATCCGACCACAGCTCACTTTTGTTCCATCGTGGCAGTCGCATTGGGTCTATCCTCTGTCATGGTAATCTCGCTTCACTGTCGGCCGTTCAAGTACAACTACACATTACCTGTCGAGGATCCCCGGCACTGCTTCCGGCTGAAGCCATGTGTGGTCACCATAGCGGTGCTGGGAGTAGTCCTAGACTCTGTCATCTGGTGTCTTCCGCACTATGTGGTCTGGCATCTGAGGCTGCGCCTATCCCACAGAGTGGCTGTGTCGGTCATATTCGCATTTGGGTTGTTGTGCGATCAGGAATTATCTTCTCTCTGTCATGACTAACGTGAGTAGCAACATGTTTATCGGTGCCTTTCGCGTCGACTCACTGGCCGATGTCGCATACCAAGGCGACGTAACGTACGGCATGGGCAACACTCTGATGTGGGCAATCGCCCAGATAAGTACTGGGATCATTGTAGCATGTCTGCCTCATCTCCGTCCTTTGTTCGATTGCATCTTGCCGCGCCGGCTCATCCATCTCAGCACCCGCAAATCCAAGACTCAATCCAAGACTCAGTCCAGAGCCTCTCAGGTCTCAGCTCAGTCTGTACTCGTTCCTCCAATTATCCAGAGCAGAGCTGGCTCCATTGTTGTCACTACGCAGATTGCTGTTCAGCCCGGTTCGCCAAATCTGTTGCCACCTCCACCGCCGCCGATAGACATCGTGGATGGGCAACTTGACCCTTTGGGCCCAGTGTTCCACGTTGAGCCAGGGCCTGCGAAGCGGACGAGAGTAGTTTCGTACGATTGTGGTGTGTCGCCGCGTGGTTGTGGCCTTCCCTACTGAGCTGAGGCTGATGTCATGTTTTCCTACAGATGCGCACTGTTGCATACACTTTGCTTCCTCCCCGCATACCTAGTTTGGTACTTCTCTGGGTGTTTCAAGCCCGACAATATAAGATAGTTATTCTCCAAGTGTTACGACGTACGTGGACCATCCAGCTGCCGCTAACTGGACAATTCGCTCATCCCGCAACGCTGTGACGTCTTCAAATCTCTTCTTGAAGTCCGCGTCCGTTCCTAGACCCAGCTGGCCCATGCTGTTGTCTCCCGCCGCGAACAAAACTCTCTTGACCCTTCCTTCCGTCTTACACGTTTGGGCTGCCACTAAGATGTGGCCATGGCCAACCGCTACATCATACACCTTTGCGTCCTGACCATCTATCCGCACGTCCAAGCACTTGACAAACTCATCCTGAACGTCATCAGCACTGATGCCCGTTACCAGTGCGCTCGTTTCAGCATTGCCATTCAGCACGTCCAATTCACCATTTGACCCAGGACATGCCTGACCCCATAAGAAGAGTTCGCCGTCCGAGTCGAACGCCGCGCTCATGTACCCGCCCGATGCCACCTTCGTGACGTAGGTCATCTCAAGGTAAGGCACGGGCGCAATGTCCAAAGCAGCATCATACGGTCGGCCCAAGCACTTCTCATACCTCGGATCCCTTGTCTCCGTCCAAACGTGCCCATCGACATCTAGCGCAGTCATCGTCGTAGCATTCCCAGCGAACAGCGGGGGGTCGTGAAGTTCGTAAGGAAGGACCGTGACTCCGGTCCCCTCACCCATCTCACCGGCCTCGAGATAACGCCGGAAAGCCGCAAAGTCTTTGACCCGCACCACCGACTCCACAGCCGCGGAACGATGCTGGAGGTAAACCAGTACTTGCCCCTCACTCCCGATCTTCACATCCTTCACGATCTCAACCTGATCGCTTATGGTGAAAGTTTGTATGTCTGGTACGCCAGTGTCCTCGATCTCGAGGTCGGTACCAAACATGACGACCGTCTGATCCGCTGCTTTCCGGTCGATGTCCTCCTCCCCTCTCTTGACTGTCAACACATACCCCCTCAATCCATCGTGCATCGTGCTCCCAAAGAAGATGATCTCGCTTCCATTATCGCGATTTGGACCGATAGGAAGCGCTCGTTTCAGATCGCTGTCGCTGGTCAAGTATTCTTTCTGAGCAGCCGTGAGGCCTGTGCCCATGTACCGAACGTGTGGTTCCCCAACACCATTACCATCGCCATCACCACCATTCTTATTCCCCTCTCCATCATCTCTATTTCCATGATCGACTGGGTTGCTGCAAGCGACCACAGCGTCGCACCAACCCGCCCAAAGCACTCTGATGCTCTGTGCAGTCAAAATCGCGCTAGTCCCAGGGCGAGCACCCTCGTGTTTCACACCAAAAGCGTACAGCCGCATAGTAGTGCGATGCCGACCGGACGAACAACAAACGCGCGTGCAGAGAAAGCAAGCGAGTCGAAACAGAAAGTAGAAACGAGACCGAACGCACAGAAGCAACGCAGCCGTTGGGATCTGTAACAAATGGATGATCTGGCGCCTCTTCCCGTGTCGATCTGCGGGCGGCGCGTGGGGTTGGGTTGGGGGGTGTGGGTGGAGGTGTTACCGTACCAAACATCTACCGTGTCGCGTAACGTGTTGTGACAGATCCATGGATGGTCCAGATGATCTTAGCGTCGACGCGACGCGACGCGCATTAGAAGCTTCGAAGACGCAGGAGACGCAGGACGCGTTCGTTTATCCCTAGCGTAGGCGCGTACGTACGCGTCCTTCCAAGCTTCTGTTCTGCGGTGCAGCCCGAGTGGCCCGCGGAAATCTTAACCTGGAGCTCCACACACTGTGCGCTTTGTCTGCGTCTGTGTTTCCATGATTAATCTTAATTAAAGTTGGATGATTGGTATTCTGTCGCAAACACCTGTAACAGTGACAGCGCGGGAAGCGGGTTGCGGGAACCGTTTTCTTTACTTTGCGCTTCGCTTCGCATTGCCATTGCTCATTGAGTTCGAAACATTGCCTGTTCCGACAGCGTCGCTCCGCTCGACGGAACGTTCTGTGGGATGACGTAGAACGGTGTGTGGGGAAATTGCGATGACAGCAGAGCCTCAGGATCATGTCACTGCCTTAGGTGGCGAACTACTAATCAAGGACGTGGACATTGGAAGATAGGAGGGGAAGTTGGAAGGATTGGATTCGGGATTAGGCGCCCTACTACCCACGACTGACTGACGACAGCAAACAGCACAATGCCAACCATGTCAATCCCAGGCCATCACGCGTGCATCATGCATGCAAGATACGCGAGCAGCCCCCGAAATCATCCCAATCCTTCCAATCCTTCGACCTATACGCAACTGCGTCATCTGCCGCTCATTCTGGTGCTTTCCCCGCTTCCTTCCTCCAAGTTCCTTGATCTCGTTTATCACAACTAACAAAAGTGGTCTGTTCGCTTTAATAGCACTTGAGGAGGACCACGAGACGAGACGAGAAAGGAAGGAGCGAACCGAAGCCGACGAACCCCTCATCCGGTCCATGAATTGGATTAGACGATTAGACGAGCAACCAATGCCACTTGGTCATACCTAACCGCTGGAAGAAGGAAAATAGCGAGGACTTTGGTACGAGGCTGGCGTAGGTGGACTGCCAGTATGAGGCGAAGGTACCTGCATACAGTCCATTGCGTTAGCGGTTATTCCCAGGTGTGTTATTTCCTGTTGATTCGTGATTCGCTTGCATTTCCGTGTCCTTTCCTTCCAACCGCTTTTCTTGGGTCACGAGTTGTATGAGGAGTTGTTTTGCTTTTGGAAGGTTTCCACGGAACGTACTGTCGCATCTTCATCCCCGAATTCCCAATTCCCAAGGCACTGGAAACGAGGAAGTAACACCCATACTTTCACACTTTCACACTACACGTACCTTCAACCGGCCCCATCTCAGCAAAACCAAGCGCTTCCAACACCCACGGCGCGACGATAGCGAGGACGCCCAGGGCAATGACGGTGCACGTGACCGGGTGCTCAATGACGAAGCCCTCGATGCTTTGGGCAGCTTCCCAGGCTTTGTCGCAGGCGGCGGAGAAGGCGGGACTGAATTTCTCGCGAGGGGCCTGCAGGGCGGCGGTGAGATCCTCGAGGACGCGTTGCGCTATGTTGGTGCGCCAGCCCGAAGCGCCCACGATAGAGTCCAGGTGCATGCGCAGGGCGTCGCCGGTGAACTCGGTGTGGTAGAGGGCGTAGACGACATTACCTGCGATGTGATCGGCAGTGCGGGCGTCAGAGGTATCGGCGGAGAGCAAGGCGACTTTCTCGTCGGGGTAAGTGGTGTGCTTTGGCTCCTCGGCGCCGCAGGGGAAGCAGGCGAGAAGTGCTTGGAGATGTGCCATTGCCATGTTGCCAGCTGCTACGATGGGAGTTGGTTGGAGATGTGGTGGTGGTGAGTGCGATATTGATATGTGTTCGGGCTTAGCGCTTGTGGCACTGCTGCGCCGCAGGAGCGGTGATGGTGAGGGTGACACAGAGCTGCCTCACCCAACCATTTTTCGAACGCCACAAGTATGCGACGCAGAGGATTATGGGGAGGTAGGCTGCAAGGCTGCGGGCAAGGCGCACTCTGTATTGAGGAGTGCACATGTCAATATGCCTGAGATTGATATGGGTGCAGCATGGCAACCTCGCCAAGTCTCAGCGAGCGCTTCTATCATGTACTACCTCTGACTTGTAAGTCACAGTATGGATCGTTACAGCTCGCGAAGATCGCGCTCACGTCCGTCCAGTCTTACGTGGTCCAGTTATGTCCCGACAGAATGGAGATAGAACAACAGGTTCACGGTGGTCTATTGTTTGGCGTGACACCAACGCCATTATACAGCTCAGGGTAAAGTCAAAGGCTGGATGGTAACAAGACATCGTACATTCGTGGTGTTTGTTACGCTGGGCACCTGCCTTGTCGCCTGATACTCTCTTACCTGCACTTGACACCGCTCAGCTGCTCTTACCTTTACTTCGTCTTGCAGTACGCTAGACTGCCATGAATTGCATTGTGACTTCTCTTATAGTCTCTCCACTCATCATCTTTTGTCACTTCGACTTCATCACTTCACACGATCTGAGAAGCATCAGACCAACACTTGTCACTACCTCTTCGTCAGCTACCGAACAAGATGGGCGGGCACGCCTTCAAAGGACTGTATTGTCCTCGCATTTCACCAGCTGTCTACGAAAAGGTGAAAGCAGAGACGAAAGCTTTGCTGCAGACTGTCTTCGCGCAAGTCGTGGTACCGACTGAGATGCCTGGCAAGGTATGACTACACATCTCACACGCTGTTCACCTGCTAACACCCACAGGATGACTTCGGCGACGTCGACTTCCTAGTCTGCTCCCCTCTCCACTTCAAAGGTACCACCACCATCGACACATTCCCCTGGCAAAGCACCGTATCCCTCATCAAAGACGTCCTCGACACCACCCATGGGCGCCAGGGTTATCTTACCCCCGACTGCATGTACTTCGCCATCGACTCGCCCCACGGCGAAGAAAACTATTTCATCCAGATCGACGTCAAGGTCTGCTTCAAGCCGGAGCTGTTCCACTGGTGCCACTTCGAGCTCAACTATGCAAGCAACAGCAAGATGATCGGCAGTATGGTCAAACCACTGGGTCTTACCATGGATCCTGAGGGTGTCCATGTCCGTGTTGAAGAGATGGAAGAAACGAACTTTCCTGGTAGCATGGTGTGGGTTAGCAAGGATCCGAAAGATGCGCTGAGGATCGTGGGCTTGGATTGGAGGATCTTGGATGGGGGATTCGGGACTAAGGAGGAGAGTGAGTTGTTGATCGGCGCTGTCTGTGACTTTTGCTGATGTTAGATCCAGTCTACACGTACCTGGCCAGCTCATGGCTCTTCCACCCAGGCCACTTCGCCGCACGACTAGCCGAGGAAAAGTACAACGATCGCCTCGAAGACCGCGCACCGTACTGGACACACTTCATCAAAGAATGGGTTCCGCAGCACTACCCTGGTTACCACCACGTCCGGCACGGTCCAGAAAACGGCCAAGACAACGGCAGATCCGGCGAAGACATCGATGAAACCCTCCCAGCATGGCAAACCCGCACCAGAACAGCTGTCCGCAACAAAGTCTTCACCATGTTCCCCCACATCGCAAGTGAATACTACACCAAGCGCGCCGCATGGGTCAAAGAGCGCGAAGAGCAGAGACTGCGCGAGCTCATCACGCAAGCCATTCCAACTGGTCAGAATGGATGGAGTAGTGACGTACCTGTTCCAACCATCATAGTCAAATACTTTCAGCCGCAGACCCCCGATCTCGAACCCACAACCACGGGGGAGATGACACCCCCGTTGACACCACCGCTCACACCGAGTTTACCATTCGACGCTTCACCGACTTCACCAACAACCCTAGTCCCCCCTCTCATCTCCCCATCTCCATCCACCTCCTCCCCAAACCCACCCCTCACCGTCTCCTCCCTCCCCCTTACCCCACCCCTCCCCTTCACTCCCTCCCCCCCTCCACCCAACATGTCCGCTTCCGCCAAACTCCTCTGTCTCTTCCGCTGGACACACTTCGACGCTTCCACCGGCACACCCTTCCTGGCTTCCGTGCCGCGCGACAAGGACTTCACGATGGCGTGGACAGATGCGCAGTATGCTGGTGCCACGGATGGGGTGCTTGTGCGGTGGGCGGAGGAGGTGTGGTGGAGTGTTTGGGTTAGGCAGTGTGTGGTTAATTATAGGGGGATGTGGAGGAGGAGGTTTGAGAAGGCGGGGAGGAAGGGGGCTGTGGAGGGGGGGATGGGAGGGGTTGAGGAGAAAGCTGGTGTTGAGGGGAAGGAGAAGGGAGGTGCGAGTGTGGTGGGAGAGAGGGTGGAGAAGGTTAGGGGGAGGTTGAGCAGGTTGAATGAGAGTTTGGTTGGGTTGGTTTAGGTGGGTTGTATTGGAGGTCGGTTGTGAGATGGGTATCATCATTCCCGTATCTCTCTGGACTGCGGTATGAATTTGGAGTTTGGACGGGACTTTATTCGGGATATCCCATCTGGGCACTACATTGCTCATACGACTCTGCTTACGATGATGGCCTTTTCTCGAACACATCACATCACAGGAGTCATGGCTCCGAGGAAGCTAGAAATCTTGAAAAGGTGTTCACTTTACATTTCGCTCAGAATGAGCAAGCATGAATTCTGCAGTGAGGTTCTCCTTATCTCTTGCTCATGATCCCAATCCACAAAAGATCCGTCACAGAAGACTTCAGACGTCGATCAGCGTTCCACGTTTTCCGCACAATACAGAACCAAGCAAGACCTCCCACGCCGATGTTTAGGTTCTCTTCCGCTCTAGACAGCTTAAAGTCTAAAAATGGTAGAGGACCTAAACATCGGCGTGACCGATCCTCTAAGCTTCCCTACTATGCGAAAAAGACTGACCACGCGGATACAAGTGATCTCGAGCGCATTCGACGCAACGCGCTAGTTTCCGAAACGCCCTTTCCGATTCGGAACCCATACCCCACACTTGATCGACCCTCTCTCCGCTGTCAGCCCCTCAATAATGACGCCAGCCAGACGCTCTGGTCCCAACCCGACTCCTGCAAGCTTGCAAGTACCGAAGATGAGGGGTCGTCATACATCATAGACTGGGTCTGGTGCCATCGTAGAATCAACGCGCCTTTCGTCCACTGTGACTTTTCCTTCTTCACAATATACGCGCACCTCGTTCTATTGTCGTGACGAACTCATCGTATCTTTGTATCTTGTATCTTATACCTTTGAACCCCCGAAACTGCTTATACGCGACGCGCGCCCCAATCCCCAAAAATGTCCAGCGACAAGATGAAAGCAGTGCACTACGAAGGTCCATTCAAGGTCTCGGTCAAGGACGTCGAGCTGCCCAAGATACAGCATCCAGATGATGTGATTGTCAAGGTTACGACGGCGGCGATTTGCGGGTCGGACTTGCATATGTATCAAGGTCGGACGGCTGCTGAAGCGGGTCTGGTGTTTGGTCATGAGAATATGGGGACGATTATCGAGGTTGGGTCGGGCGTGACGCTTTTGGAGAAGGGGGATAGGATTGTGTTGCCGTTTGTGAGTGTTCCGTGGAGATGTAGTGCGGGTGGCGGAGGGCTAACGCGATGGATCGTAGAATGTCGCAGATGGCAGGTGTCGCAATTGCGAAGAGGGCAAGACGGCGTTTTGTACTGGGTAGGTCGAGGCTCAATCGAATTATCCACCGTCTGTCCTAACAACAGAACAGAGTAAATCCAGGCTTCGCCGGCGGTGCTTACGGCTACGTAGCCATGGGCCCGTATCAGGGCGGCCAAGCGCAATACCTCCGCGTCCCCTTCGCCGACTTCAACGCCCTGAAACTGCCCAAAGGCACCGAGCACGAAGCCGACTTCATACTGCTAGCAGATATATTCCCAACGGGCTGGCATGGGCTGGTGCTCGCTGGCTTCCAGTCCGGCGAAAGCGTCGCGGTGTTCGGCGCGGGTCCTGTTGGTCTCATGGCGGCTTATAGCGGTATCTTACGAGGTGCGAGCAAGGTCTTTGTAGTCGACACAGTGCCTGAGCGACTGCAAGCTGCGGAGAAGATTGGATGCATTCCTATTGACTTCAGGAAGAGCGACCCGGTTGAGCAGATCATCAAGCTCAATGACGGTATGGTGGATCGCGCTGTCGACGCGGTCGGTTATCAAGCCGTGGACGCGTCTGGTAGCAAGGAGAAGCCGAATGTCGTCTTGGACCAGTTGATCATGGTGACCCGGCCAACGGGAGGCTTGGGTATTCCAGGTTTGTATGTTCCGGCCGACCCTGGAGCTCCAGATGAGCAGAGCAAGAAGGGCCAGATTCTGATCTCGTTCGGCAAGCTATTCGAAAAGGTATGTTCGTGTCTCGTGGTCGTGATCCACCACTAACGACGGCAGGGCTTGCATCTTGGCACCGGGCAGTGTAATGTGAAGGCGTACAACAGGTATCTTCGCGACATGATTGTATCGGGCAAGGCTAAGCCGAGCTTCGTCGTGTCGCACGAGATCAACATCGACGACGCGCCGACGGCATACGAGAAGTTTGACAAGAGGATCGAGGGGTATACGAAGGTGTTGATCCATCCGAACGGGGCTTTGAACTAGTTGGACGTATGAGTAATTAATCTACATTTCATTTTTTGAGTAACTCACGTTCAAGCATTGAGTGTCGCGTTGATGCGCTCTGTTATGCGATCGCGTCGGCGCCTCGCTGATCCCCTTCCTCCGCGCTAGTATCGCTGCATCGCCATAGCTCCGTCGTCGACGAGGTATGCCTTGACAATCTTGACCTCCTCAACAGGGCGGTCTTCCTTGTCGGTCTTGACCAAGCCCAGCTTCTTCACAATCTGCATCCCGCTTTTGACCCTTCCAAAGATCGTGTGCTTGCCGTCCAACCACGGAGTCGGCGCCAATGTGATGAAGAACTGGGAGCCATTGGTGTTGGGACCGGAGTTGGCCATGCTGAGGATGCCTGCACCGGTGTGCTTGAGCTGGGGGCTGATCTCGTCTTCGAACTTGTCTCCATATATGCTCTCACCTCCTCGTCCTGTACCCGTGGGGTCACCGCCTTGGATCATGAAGTTTGGTATTATGCGGTGGAAGATCAGGCCGTTGAAGTAGTTGCGCTGCGTGAGCGTCGAGAAGTTTTTGCATGTCTTGGGCGCGTGGTCGTTGTAGAGTTCGATGACAATGGTGCCCTGCTCTGATTAGTAAGGGTCTTGATCGTATGAGAAGGTTCACGTACAATAGTGGTATCGAGTGCGATGTCGGTAGCCATGGTGAATGTGTAGTTGGGTATGAGGACTGTGATGGCAGCTTCCCCACGAGCTGGAATTCCATGTGAACTCTGGGGCACGGACCGCACACCAGCCACTCACCTGCGCCACAGCTACTAGCTCAGAGTGATGATTCACAGCTAACGAACTATTCCGATGTTTGGCAACCACAACCTCATCAACAAGAACATGGATCTCTCAACCTGGGCATTACCCCAGCTATCGAAGCTTGTTCCTCTAGACGATGAGTCACTGAAACAACTAATATCATATACTGAGTCACTATCGCCCAAAGAAGCAGCGGACCATCTGCAGAATTTCTTAGGCGACAGCCCGCAAGCACTTGAGTTTATCTCTTCATTTAATAACCGGAGGAAGTCGAAGCCATCCGATGGTTCTGGTCAGGTCCAGGCATCAAATGACGTCTCGGAAGTGCCGCGAGCGAGGCCAAAGAAGAAGAAGCCTGGTCTGAACAAACTTCCGCCACCGCGGCAGGTAGAAGACTACGGCAACGTATCTGGTGCATACCTCAAGAAAGATGAAGAGGATTACATGGCGGGTAGCTCAAAACCCAAAGCTGCTAAGTTCGGCTTATCAGAACAACCCGATGGATTACAATTACCAACCTTCACTACGTCATCGGGGACATCGACCCCCAAATCTCGTGGTGTCTCGCCTGCTCCGCAACCAGCAAAGAAACTTCCAGGCCAACTCATCTCTGACACGAAACCAAAGGCAAAGGCAAAGGTCAATGTCACTGGTGGCACACCTATGCATGGTGCCTCGACGGCACTCAATGATCTGGAATCCGCAATCAGAGCGCTTGAGATCCAGACGAACCCTACTCTTGCCACACAAGACAACAGCAAGCGGAAATGTAACTGCATGGCTACCAGGCATCCTTTGCTCGAAGCTGCGCCAAACTGCTTGAATTGCGGAAAGATCATCTGCGTGAAAGAAGGCATCGGCCCATGCACCTTCTGCAATTCGGCCTTGTTCAGTGCACAAGACATCCAATCCATGGTGCGCGTTCTCCGCGAAGAGCGCGGAAAAGAGAAGATGGCCGCCAACAACGCCGGCCAAAAGCGTGCCGATGTCTCGCTCGCACCACGCCCCTTCTCAACACCTCGCACAGGAACACCCGCATCTTCCAATCCCGCCTCGGACGTCGAGTCTGAGAACGAGAAGCTCGCAAAAGCAAAACAACACAGAGATAAGCTACTCGCCTTCCAAGCCCAAAACGCCAAACGAACACAAGTCCACGACGAAGCCGCCGACTTTGAAACCACAACAGCCGGCCTCAGCATGTGGGCCAGCCCCCAAGAACGCGCCATGCAACTCAAGCGCCAGCAAAAAGCACTGCGCGAGCAAGACTGGAATGCGCGCCCAGAGTACGAAAAGCGCAAAGTAGTCGCCAGCATCGACCTCTCAGGCAAGAAGCTTGTCAAGCGCATGGCTGCTACCGAGAGGCCGGCTACACCCGAGAGCGAAGATGAGCCACCAGAACCTACTCAACGGCCCCAAGAAGGGAATACGCTATCGAGTGGTAGCGGAGCGTTCAGCAAGAACCCGCTATTGGGTGGACTAATTAGACCAACTATCAAGGTTCAGGAGAGTAAAGGGAAGGAGAATGCGGGTGAAGGGGGCAGGAAGCAGACGTGGCGTCGCGTGCAGGATGATAACGATGACAATGAGCAGTGGATCTTGGATGGTGGTGTTTATGGTTCGAGAGCGGATAATGTGAGCTTGGAGATGGATGGGTTGAGATGATAGGTGCCATTACTTTCCATACCGAAGTAACTACATTGATAGTGGTAAAAAGAACCAGCAAACAACATATATTTCCGAATCAGCGCGCGCATCCATCTCACTGGAAGCCTAGCGGCTGACTTCCAACGCGAGCTCTCATCCTCTCATTCAACCTAGGCAACTCGAGTTCAGAGTACAGTCTGCATGACCCCGTAGCCGAACAGCCGTACTTGTGGCGTATCAAGCATCCACTCCGGTGTCGCTATCGTACATACGCGAGAGCGAGTATAGCTCACGGGACTAAAGGTGATGCATCTATACGGGCAGGTCAAGCCCATACTCCCCTGTATCCCCCGCGGACTTTTCTCCGCGCGAATAGGACCGAAGGTAAAAGCCGCGCGGACACTGTATTGTGCGAACAGCGAGCGAGGGAGCGAGCGAGTGAAGAAACTGCCGTGGTGTCCCAAAGTCGTATCCATGTCGTGTATGCCATCTCCTTACATACGGAATCGCCGCACCACCTCACCATTCCAAGGTTACCAGCCCACCGTCCCCGCCGATCCCCGTTCGACGCATCCCCGTTCTACCTTTCCCCATCCCCAGGTTTTCCAACGAAGCCATCTGAGATCGACGAACCTAGGGAGAATCTCGCCAAAAGCTTGTTCAGCCGCTTCTTTGCTTGTTGCGACAAGCTCGACCAAGCAATTGCGGGGTACATACACACTACCAGCCACGCTAACCCCATTGAACGCTTCCCCCGGTGTCCCATGGACATGGTACGGAAGGAAGTGATAGGCTAGCAGTTTAACGTGGCGGAAGCTGGAAGTGACAGCTGGGCGCTCGTTGGAAAGTTGGGAAAGTTACCGCGGATGTGGTGGGAGAGGCGAATCTGGATGCGCGGATGGAGACGGTGGGTTGGTAGGTGGATGGGCTAGACCACGGATTTGGGGGCTAGTGTGAAGGAGGATAATGGAGGGAAAGGGAGGAAGAGGGACGATGTGAGGACTAGCTGGGTGTTAGGTGGGAAATACCCCGCAGACTGAGTCGTGGGTGGGGAATGTGATGGACGGCCCTGGTAGGGGGCGTGGTGAAAGCAAGGGTGAGTTACAATTACATGGATGCATAAGAGCCCCGCTGAGCCTCCAAACGAAAGTTGTTCGCAGGACTGACAGTTTCGTTTGTACTGTCCAAGATCTCCATTCCTGTCTACCAGTTTGTCTCCACACGTAGACCATGAAGAACACAATGCGAGACCACAGCGATGGCTCTGGTACGTAACCCTACACCCCAACTCCACATCCACCTACACATGTACTAACCCAATTCAACAATAGATATCTCAGACCACTCCCCCTCAGCCTCCAAACCAGCCTTCAACCACATCGAGCAGATCCACACCAACGAGCAAGTCCCCGGGCATACCAACTACTACGAGAAAGATGGCTTGCGCACAGCTGGCGACGGCGAGGACCACGATGCCGAGCAGCCCATGAACTTTAAAAGGTTGATGGCGTTGGTCGCTATGGCTTTCCGTGCGTAAACCCCCTCACATATACACACTACTCAAGACGCCCATCGCTAACACCAAAAATAGTATGGACAGGCAGCCAAATCCCCGTCTACCTCTTCGGCGGCGTCCCCCCCTACATCTACGCCGACATAGGCGGCACAGACCGCTGGATCTGGTTCATCCTCGCCAACCTCCTCTCCCTCGCCGCCGTCTGCCCCTTCGTCGGTTCCATCTCCGACATTGTCGGCCGCCGGTGGGTCGCCATGATCGGCGCGTGCTTCCTGATTCTCGGCATGATTATCTGCTCAACCGCACATTCCATGAATATCTTCATTGCAGGAATGGTGTTTAGCGGTGTGGGCGCGGGGATCAACGAGCTTACGGCGTTGGCGGTGACGAGTGAGCTTGCGCCGACGAGTCAGAGGGGAAAGTATGTTGCGATATTGGTTTTTACGATTTTGCCGTTTTGTCCGAGTGTGCTTTGGGCGCAGCTTATTGCTAGTCAGAGTCCGGGGGCGTGGAGGTGGATTGGGATGTGGTGTGGTAAGAACTTTCCCCGTTATCTAAACAACGTATGAGACGGGAACTGACAGTTTAGGTCTCTGGGCTTTCATCGGCCTCGTCCTAACGGCGGTGTTCTACCACCCTCCTCCTCGCGTCAACAGCGTGGGCATGAGCCGCAGAGAGGTGCTCGCGCAGATCGACTACATCGGCGGTTTCTTGTCCGTTGCTGGTATGATCTTGTTCATGATGGGTATGCAGTGGGGTGGCTACCAGTACAAGTGGTCCAGCGCACACGTTCTCGCGCCCTTGATCCTGGGTGTCGCTTTCCTCGTCGCCTTTGTTTTCTGGGAAGCTTACGGAGCCAAACATCCCATGTTCCCTAAGCGTCTTCGTCAAGAGCCCCGGATCCTTGGTCTGACACTCGTCATTACGTTCATCTCCGGAGCTAACTTCTTCTCTATTCTCATGTTCTGGCCAACCCAGGCGTTCAACGTTTACGGTCATGATCCCGTTGGTGTTGGTATCCGAGGTATTCCGGTTGGATTCTCGATCCTCGCTGGTGCTTGCATTGTGCTATGGTTGCTTTCATTGCTCCGCGGTCACAACAAGGAGCTTTTGATCGTTTCGTCGATCATGATGACTGCAGGCTGCGGTGCTCTGTCTATCGGTCGCGTGGACAACTTGTACCAGCTATGGGGATTGCTGGTTCTCGCCGGTCTCGGTATTGGTGGTATCGTCGTGCCTGCATCTATTATCTGTAAGTTTCACGTCGTGTTGGTCGATGAACGCGTCGCTGACTTCGTTAGCCACCATTATCTGCCCAGACGACCTCATCGCAACAATCGCAGCTCTGACCCTTGCCATCCGCGTCATCGGTGGTTCGATCGGATACTGCGTGTACTACAACGTCTTCATCTCCAAATTTGTTCCCTCCGCAACCTACTACATTGGCGGCGTGATGGTGACCAAACTCAACATCACATCCCCAGAGATCATTGGAGAAGCAATCGCCATCACCGGCGGATCGCTTCTCCCGCTTCTTCATGAGCTTCCGGGTATCAAGGACGTGCCGGGTGCGTACGAATTGGTTGTTTATGCTGGACAGCTCGCGTACGCAGAGGCGTACAAGTACGTGTACTACGTGAGCATAGCGTTCGGCGGAGTCAGCATCATCGCGGCATGCTTCTTGGGCGACATTTCCAAGTACATGGACGACCACGTCGCTGTGGTCATGCATTGAGCTGGTTGTAGGGTGCTGGAACGCAGTGAATGTGTAGCCGAGGTCTGTAATTACAATCGAGACTTTATTTGAACGCTTGCGTTGTTGAGATTAAGCGTCCTGCATGACTGTTGATGTTCGCAGCGTAGGTAGACTTGGCTGCATTGCGACGCTACAGCTAACGGCGCGATGTGCGTCATAATCGGCGAACACCTCTTGAACACCGCAGCATTGTTTTCTTCTGGCAAACCTTTGATAAAGTCAGTAGAGGCCACTGTTGCCCATTTCCACAACCTCTTCGATCCTTCGGACACCGAGTCAATCATGTTCCGTACCTCTTCTTCCCGTGAGCCGGACGACGTCGAATGGAGAGCAGCAGACCGAGGATCGAATGGTGTTACCCAGCCACCCCTACATCCCGAGACATCGAACAACAAACGCAAGCGGCAAAGCAGTTGCTTTTGCGCACCGCAGATGTTCGGTGGTGGCATCTTCCTACCGGACCCCTCAACTTATGACCCTTTAGAAATCTTGCTCAACACCCATGATGAAAGCGAGAGGAACGAGCTGGTCGAAAAATGGAGAGACAACAAGCTAAGCGAGCTGAACTTCGTTGGTGTCGTGGTATGTACTGCAACCATTGATGATGCCGCACCGCTGACGACGGTCAAGTCAGCCTTACTTGCGGGTGTCCTTACCTCGACAGGTAGCTGGCCAAATATCCTCACCACCGGCAGGCCCACCCCGTGGTATGTCCGGACATCGTGGTACTGTGGCATCATCATCACGATGCTCTCCATCATCAGCGCAGCCGACCAGACCGTGCGTTTACACCGGCTTTCGTCGCATCGCGATGGCATCGCCAATCTTCACAAGCTACTTGGTAAAGGAAGTCGCTGGAAACGAACGGGTCGTCGTGCGCCGAACCTTGTCCAGGTCTTGACTTGGCAGATGCCGGTTATGTTTCTCATATCCGCGACTATCTGCATGGTTGTGGGCATGTTCTTGCTCGTGTGGAGTGCAACGTCAAATCTGGGTAATTCTGGAGGGTTAGACGATGGGGACAAGGTATGATTGCAGGCGAGGCGAATCTGGAAGGTTTCAACGCTGATTTGATGATAGGTCGCCATTGTTTTCACGGCTGTTGCGGCTCTGACGATCATCATGTTCTTCGTTGGGCAGATTTCGCTCTACTCGCCGATCAGGGAGTAGAAACTGTGAGTAGTTCGAAGTCATGACAAAGCCATGTACGATTGAACGTAGGAGTGGTGCCGGTATCGAGAACGTGTGGAAGATGATGATGCCGAAGATGGCGAGATCTCGAAGCTGCTGCCAGTGGGGGGTGCCAAGCCGCTGGCTGCGCTATCCTTCTTTTGCACAAGCGTGTTCGTGGCAAACCTCGAGCACTTTAGATTTACCCTCACTTGTCACTTCCGTCGCGTCATGCATCACATGAACTCGCGCGCAGCTCGCGTTGGACTCAATATACGCTGCTAACTATGATTCGCTGCTGCCTGTCTCGTCAGGCTGCTGTGGTCCCTAAACACGTCTTCCCGTCGCTAGAACGGGCCACGGCGCGTCGTTGCCTAGCTCGACCCTCTTTTGCCTCAACACGCCACACCGCTGCAGCATCCAACTCCATCATGTTACAGGCTGCCGTCGTCAAGCATGAACGAGATCCTAATGCTGGAGTAAATATATAATTCGTCGTTTTTCCGTCTCCAGCAGTCATTCCATTCAACAATCTCAATTCCATTCCAACACACGCGCTTTTTACCACTTCTTACAACGCCATTTCAACCAAGACAACCCAAAAGCAGACATCGACAATGATTGACCTTCCTCCAGTCCCAGTTCGTCATACCGACTGGATTGCTCATGTCGCTGCCCATCCAGAGACATCACTGCACACCTTGCTCGAGCCCTACAAGGAATATGACTCCAAGCTGCGCGAGGTGTTCGCACAGCAACCAGAACACCCCGCCATTACAGAGCCCAACATCCTTCCCATATTCGCAGGCCGCGAAAGTCAACTCAAGATTCGCGCTCGCAACCCCGAAGATGAATCTGAGGCTGAGCGTGAGCGCTATCTAATGCCTCTCGACGAGGCGGATCGCAAGCCGACTGGCTCTCCAGCAGTCGTGCAATCGCTCAATGAGTTTCAGACCAACTTTCAGCTCTTCTCCGAGTCATCGCTTGTTGACATGGATTGGTCCAACGTGGTGGTCGCAGGTAGCGCTGTCGTAACTTCGTTGCTGCCGGTTCCAGAGGAACATAGTGGCTCCAAGCGCGCCCTTCGCGAGTACTATCATCAGCAACTAGCGCCAGCTTCGGATGTCGATCTCTTCCTCTACGACCTTACCGAAATGCAGGCCATTGAGAAGATCAAGCAGATCGAACAACGCATCAGGGACTCCATCTTGACAGAGACAACTACCGTCCGTACCAAGAACGCCATCACCATCGCTTCGCAGTATCCCACCCGTCACGTTCAGATTGTCCTGCGAATTTACAGATCTATCTCCGAGATTCTCACAGGCTTCGATGTTGATTGTTCCTGTGCGGCATACGATGGCAAGCAAGTCTACGCCAGTCCCCGTGCGATCGCTGCATACATGACGCAGATCAACACCATCGACCTGACACGTCGCTCCCCATCATACGAGAACCGCTTGTCCAAGTATGCACGCCGCGGCTTCGAAGTCTACTGGCCGCTCCTTGATCGGTCGCGCATTGATCCCACGTTGTTCGAACGCTCCTTCGGTCGCACTCTCGGACTGGCAAGGTTGCTAGTACTTGAGAAATTGCCGAAAAGCACTGACCGTGATGCCTACGTTGATCAGCGTCGTGCTGAACGTGGCAGACCAGCTATCAATCGTTGGGCCACGCAGAAGCTCAAAGGCGACATCAAGCAACAGCACGACGAAGATGTTGCCGAGTGGGTAGAGACTGATGAGGTCAGCGATTACCATACCTTCACCATCCCATACGGGCCGAAGTTCCATGCTCGGAAGATTGAGAGGCTGCTCTTTGCGAAAGACTTGCTACTCAACGCCGAATGGAACCGACCTAAGGATCGACAGACCACACTACATCGACACCCTTCCTTCTTTGGGAACGCAATCGATGTGATTGGGGACTGTTGTGGTTTTTGTCCCGAGCCCACCACACCAGAAGATCTGGAGATTGCGGCTGAGGAAAGCAAGATTTATGTGTCTGGCACATTGTCTTTCATCAAAGACAACCCTGGACGGCAAGCAATTGGCTCTTTCCACCCTCTGACTGATGATGACTGGACCGAGATGGCATATGTCGGCAATACAGCGCGACTGTGTCAGGCTATAGTGGACGGAGATCTCGAGCATGTCCGGGATTGGCTCAGTCAAGAGGGTGCTGACCCCAACCGAAGGGACTACACTGGACGTACTCCACTTCATTTGGCGGTTATGACCTCAACTCCGCAGATTGTTCAAGCTCTCATCGATGCTGGTGCTCGCATCGTCGCTCGCATCTTCGATGGTAAGACCGCGCTCCATCTCGCTGCCATGCGCGGTGAGGTAGAGATGGTCAGAGCTCTCCTCATCAAGAGTGAGGCCAATGAAGAGGAAGAGGCAGAGAAAGAAGCTCTTAAGAAGAAGAACCAGATCCTTCCCGAAACACCAGATGCTACCAGTACCAACGACTCCGAGAAGCGTGCTTCCGATGACGACAGCGAGAACGACGACGATGACGACGACGTCGATTTACTTGATGACGAGTCCGATAATGCCGATGCGACTACTGAAGGCTCTGTCATCAAGATAGACCCCAAAAAGTCAGAAGACCACGATAACCTCCCAGATGATGCAAACGACGACGAGCCCGATGTGTATGACGTCAACGTGGTCGCCTGGGACGCACCGGTATCTGCGCTTCATCTGGCCATTGCAAATGGCCACACTGACGTCGTAAAGACTCTCGTTCAGGAGTTTGGAGCCGATGTACTATTGCCGGTCAAACTTGTCAATGATTACAACAAGTCCCCGCGCGCGGCGATCCTGCCAGTCGTCCTCGCTTTACAGCTCTCGCCTGAAAAGGCCAAGGACATGACTAAATTACTTGTCAGCCTGGGTGCGTCGCCGGCACAGGGCGACACCAGCCACATCACGGCGTTGCACTACTTTGCTGCGCATGGCGCCGATCTGCTCACCACTTTGGTATCCGCAAACAGGCCTGTGGCGCAACAAGCCGCCGATCACATATCACTGAGTGGCTATGCGTTCAGACCAACCGTGAACAGTCCTCTGAAGACAGCCATTGAACATGGTGATGCGGCTGGAGTTGAAGCACTTCTAGAGCTGGGCGCGAAGCCCGAGGTTGACTTCGCCACTTACTCTACCGTTGCGAAAACCAAGGGGTTTATTTCGGCATACAGCACTGCCGAGAGCAACCAGAAGGCGTTCAGGGAAAACGTCGAGCAGCCTGTATTTACTGCAGTTCGTCATGAGGCACTGTCGATAGTCTTGAAGCTTCTGGATGCTGGAGCAAATATAAACAGTCTTACTCCCAAAGCTTGGTGCGCGCTGGACAAAAGCAACAACACACACGATCACGGTACGGGCACCCTTTTGGATATTGTTCGGTACAACGTGCGGCAACTACAGACCTTCATCGAGACGGGCAAAGTCGATGGCCAAGATGGGTGGTTGTGCTCCGAGGGCTGGGTAGATCGCATTGATAACTACCGGCGTGCCGAGCAATTCGCCCCGGTACCGCTCAAGGAAGATACTGAATATCTTGGAGGACTCGAACCGGGTACCTACGCTCATTGGATGGTGAGTGATCAGATCGACAGCGCCAAGCGGATCTACGAACAAGACTTGGAGAGCCACGAGAAGTGGAAACAGTCTCAGAAAGAGCCCGAGGGTACGAGTGAGAAGAAGTCGGCTGTCCAAGCACTTCTGACAGAGTTTGAAGCATTGGAGTCGGAGCTGCTGAGACGACAGGCGAAGACCTTCAAAGAGCTGCATCCAGATACCGAAATCAGGATACCCCCACCACAACAGTACAATTATGGCAGCTATGGACCTGAACCTCCAAAGCCGTGGAATCCCTTACTCACCTTCCGGCTTTCTGACCTCACCGACGAACGACGGGAAGCTTACCTCAAACTGTTCCAAGCCTGCTGGGATGGCGATCTTCCGACGATCAAAGAGCTTACCTTGTCGATGTGGGGAGATAACCAGACTCCGCTGCAAATCGCTGTTCAGAACTCGCAGGACTACTCGCCGTTCTCTATCGCCATTCTGCGAAAGCACTATGGAATCGCTCGTGCTGTCTTGGAGATCGCACATGCGCAATATGTGCCCGAAGAGAAGCCATTGGTCAAACACAGTCTCCAGCCCCGAGATGATGACGATGGTAGCTGCGACGAAGATGAGGATGATTTCGAGATCTACGCTGAGATCGTGGATGATCGCTTCACTATTGAGAACATTGGAGAGCTACAAAGTCAAGTCAAAAGCAATGTGACGCCACTCGAGATGATGTCGTGGACGTGCCCGGCGGCGTACCGTTTCCTCGAACAGGATGCTGCATCGGTCTCACCCTGGCTTCCACATCCGGACCTCTCAAGCAGCCTTCGTAGTCAAACGCCTTTGGACTCGTCTAGTGGCAGCCCAATACCCGTCAAGATTCCCGAGGATGTGCGACCACATAGTCTGTTCCAATTGGCAATCTATCTAGACGATGCCGATCTATTACAATTCCTGATCGCCAGAGCTGAGGAGTACACGCAACACAACACCGAACTCGACGATGAGACTGCACCGAGGTTCTTCCGTTTCGATGAAGCCGAGTTCTGGTACGCGATCCGCCTGGGTCGTACCCGTCTGCTGGGAATCATTATCAAGAACACAGGGGCTGGCATTCCTTTGGACGATCTTGTGAAGAAGAGCGGCATCGAGATACCCGAGAAGCCAAAGTACTACCAAGGGCTATCGGTTCACGGCAGGAAGCGAGCGGATTGGGCGAATGAAGGGAGAGAGACCCAGACGAAAGCGGTTGGGGCGAAGCACCCGCCATTACTTCATGCCGCTCGTTATACAAGTTTGGAGAGCGTCGAGTGGTTCGCTAGTGACACCGCTTTGCGCTGTTATATGGAGTTTGCGGACAGTCATCGAGACGATATCCGCATCCAGAACCTGGCGAAGACTCCAGGCGGCTTGCAGTCGTCTATCACAAAGTGGCTCGACCTACGCTCGCATCTACTGCTCCATTCGGTAGTTCTGGGCAGGAAGGGTGAAGAGTCGGTGAGCCTGCTTCGACATCTATGCAAAACGCACCCCAAGGCACTCGAACATCGTTCTGCGAACGGCATGACGCCTTTGCAGCTTGCTTTCTCTCTGCACCGTATTGAGATGGTGAAGGTTCTTCTTGAAGCTGGTGCCGATCAAACCACACGCGACAATACCGGAGCGAACATCATCCACTCAATCCTGCACGACAGACTGCACTACCAGACGAGCCTAGAAAACGTACGCGAGCTTTTGGCGCTCATTGACACTCGCCTTCTCTCTAGCCTGTTCACCGAACGCACAACGGCGGCTCCTGGCGCAGCTACACCTCTTGCACGCTGGCTTCACGTCGCTCTTCCCCACAACTCAACAAGCTATAACTCGGAGAGCCACGAAAACATCCTCAAACTTCTTTTCGAGGTCAACAACGGCGACGACCTCAGTATCGTCAATGGCGAGGGCGATACGCCTGTCCACCTTGCCGTACGGCGTGGTGCTGATCAAGTCTTGCGCGTCATGCTCCAATGCCGTCCTGACCTTCTCTTCCGTGAGAACGCATCAGGACGTACGCCGTTTGAGATGGCAGAGGATACATATCTGGCTCAAGAGGTCTTCAGCAACCCTCCGCCCCCCAGCGACGCAGGGCAAAATCGCCGTCACCGTCATCTTGGTATTGGGAATGTGAATACCAACGTGCTTTCACGACGTCCAGAATCCTTCGTCGAAAAGTCCCGAGATACTCGCGATGCTACGACGAAGGTGTGGGAAGTCTGCAAGGAGTTTGCCGAGAAGAGTCAAGGGCAGAAGAGGAAGCTGGTCAGTCTAGTCGAGGCAAATGAAGTTGCGAAGCGACTGGCATTGCGGAAGCGGAATGAGTCTGCGACGCGGGTGAGAGGGAGGCGGTTCAGGCGCAGGCATGGCAGAGTTGAATATATCAACGACGATGAGGAGCCTGTCACAGGCGACGAGGTCGATGCGTGGTATGGAGCGCATGGATGGTAGGCGGATCGCTAGTATCCGTCATCCGATCGCCTGTAGTGTTGGCACGTGCGGCTAGTTTCACCTGAGACAGAGAATCTGGAGATGAGGCGCCGATCTAGCGAGCCCCTATTTTGATACCACGATAACAACATATTCTCCGGCTACCAACGAATCCGTGTTCCGAACGCGAGTTCGGCCAAGCATTCTCGTACATTGATAAAAGCAGAGGAGCGAAGTAGATAGAATCACAATACAACAATCATCGTCGATCGGTTTTCACAGTTCCCAATTTTAGCGCCTCGGCAATGGATTTCCTCAAGCGATTCAAGAAACCATCTTCCCCAGCGGTAGATGCTACTCCAAACCCATATGCAGACGACGACGTCTATCCAGTGCACACACTAGATGACACGAAGACTTTTCGTAGCATCATAATCACGTGGACGCTCTGCTTCAACGATGTTCTTGACGCCGACAAGCTCCAGTCCTCTCTAGCAAAGCTCTTGGAGAATGGGGAATGGAGGAAGCTTGGAGGACGCTTGAGACTCAACGTAAGTGACATCTCCTGGTCGAATTCTCCGTGGAAGCAGCAGGGCTAACATGTCGGTTGATAGGACAAGGGCGCATTAGAGATTCACGTCCCACGCCAGTTCACATCTGAGCGACCAGCCTTCTCCTACAGTCATGTCACCATCAATACTCCCATCTCCGAGCACGAACTAGCCAAGAAGCTGCCGAAAGCCAACGGAGCCGTTGTAACCTGCCCAGGACCCACGGAGTTCAACGGCCTGAACGCTCGCGCCGACGCGCCGACGACATTTGAGGACCTGATCGCGGGAGACACGCCACAGATTTCCGTTCACATCACGTCGTTCACAGATGCGACACTCGTGGGGCTCTCGTGGCCCCATACGCTGATGGATGTAATCGGCAACCAAAACCTCCTGCGCGCCTGGTCCCTGGTATTAGCCGGGAAAGAGTCCGAAGTACCGCCTGTACTCGGTGCGCGGGAAGACGCGCTACGTGCACTGACTGACAACGCGACTCAGCCGGCAGAGGAGTACATACTCAAGGCCAAACAGCTCAAAGGGCTGAGTATGGTCAAGTTTGGGGCGAGGTTCGCGTGGGATATGCTTACTGGTCCTGCTCCAAAGTCACAGACGATTTACCTGCCCAAGGATGTTGTGGCGAAATTGCGCGTAGCGACTGAGAAAGACCTGCCTTCGCACAAGAGCGATAGTGGCCTGGATGAGAAACCGTTCGTCAGCGATGGCGATGTCCTCACTGCATGGACACTCCGCTGTATCGCGTCCTCCCTCCCATCACCCCGTCCCTTAACCGCCCTCCACGCCATGAACGCTCGTTTCCGTCTCCCTGAGCTCATCAACGCGAAGGGCATGTACATGCAAAACATGCTCGTCCCCGGCTTCACCTTCCTCACTCCAGACGTGGCAACAGGCCCACTCGGTCCCATCGCCCTGCACAACCGCCAGCGCCTCCTCGAACAAGCAACCGAAGGCCAAGTCCTCGCCAGTCTCCGCGAGCAGCGCATTTCCGGCGATCCGTCTACGCTCCTCTACAGCGACGCAGATGCGATGTTGGTGCCTTTTACCGATTGGTCGAAGGCCAAGTTCTTTTCTACTGTCGACTTTGGGGCTGCGGTTGTGAGGGCTGGGGATGAGAGTGAGGGGAGGAGTAATCCGCCTGGTATGCCTGTGTTTCATCATTGCTCGAGTAGGAAACCGAATCCGGCGAATAGGCTGCTGGTGCATATTTTGGGGAAGGATCATGCGGGGGGTTACTGGCTGAGCTTGATTATGTCGCCGAAGGCTTGGGAGAACGTGGAGGCGAGTTTGAAGGAGTTGGCATAATGGGTGGGAGAGTGATGTGATACCTGTAGCTTTTTATTCGTTGCTCTTCCGTTGCTTGGATACCCGTTTTGGACCTGCATCGTTGTGTAGTGGTAGGTAACAAGCTGTCGTTAGTCATCTTGAGCTTTCGTCGTCGATTCCTTCACCATATCGCCTGTCAAGCACTCCGTCATACCAACTATCCATGGAACTGGAGGTCAGATTGCGCCCAATTAGATTGGTTGTCTTATTGGCGCATTGCGCGCCGTTCAAGGCAACCCCGTCCGATGCCGACTGCCGCCTTCAGGGCGCGAGAACTATGTTTGCGGTAGGGTAATAGAAAAAGGTGTGATACTAACGATTGGACATACTGCTGGTACCCGTTTAAGTATGTTCAAGGTGGTGGTTCTCGCATTCTCTTTCCACGTAAGGTCTCTGGTCACTCCAAGGACTTCCTGACACAGGCCATGGAGAAGGCTACATTAGGGAGAGACTAGATGGATGGTCGCGGTTGAGTGCACTACATTGATGACATGATCACCCCACACTTGAAAGATATTCTTCAGAGATGGATTGCAGCATACATCACAATAGACTACGTACTTCTATAAAGACCTAACATTGATGTAGACGTCAAGGTTTTCTTATAAACTCGTATAAATTTACCTTCTACCCAATGTAGTCTTGTCCATGCCTCATGTAGACCCCACCGCAACCGTCAGACCACGACTTTCTCTTCTACTATGAATAACCTAAATGTACTGAACAGTAACCTGCGAGCCGCTGTTGATAGTAACATCAGTGTAAACAGTGCTACCCTGCTTAAGATCAATAATAGTAGCACCGCTCAACCCATCCGTTCCACCAGTGCTCAGGCTAGCACTCGCCTGGGTGAAGACAACAGTACCAAAGTTGCTGAGCGCAACTAAGCTACCTCCAGACTCAAAGTCCTCCACAATCCACTCGGCGTTCTGACGGCACAGAACAGAGCCACTGGGTGCGCTAAGCGTCTGGCTGACCTTCTTTCCCGTGCTCACGTTGGTGAGCGAGACTGTGCCCTTGGTGGTGGAGGTAGCGACAATGTCGACTTGGATGACGTTGCCGGCCTTGACGGCAAAGTTGCTGAAGTCGTAGGCGTAGTCGGGGTACCACTCGTACCAGGCGTCGTAGGATACAGCGCCGGAGCTGCTGACGGTGAAGTCAATACCCGCTTGAAGCAGACCACTGCCGCAGGTATCGCCGTCGATACCAACCCAAGCTGAGGAAGACTCGGTTCCGCCAGAGCCAACGTGCTTGGGTGTGGGCACGGTGAAACGTCCGGTGGCTGACTTGAAGTAGCCGGAGGAGGGGGTCTCGAGGACGGCACCGGACCAGTTGGAGGAGTAGTCGACGTGGGCGGTGGTGTTGTCTACGTCTGCGACGAATTTGGCGTTCTCTTTTGCTGCCGTACCAACCAGAATCATGGGCTGGGTCCTGTGACGGCGACTGCCATCTGCACGGGATTGAACGCGCTCAGCGAGGGAGGAGGGGCGGGCCAGAACTGAGCCGGTGACGGCGGCGAGGATGGCGATGGAAAGCTTCATGATGAAGAATAAGATGATCTTGAGGGACTGAGAAGATAGTCGAAGCGAGAGAAGGGATCGAGAGTAGAACGATAGACTGCTGAAGCGAATGCTGCGTTGATGAGTGCAGTGTTAGCAGCGGTGTTCAACACTCTTTATATACTTTGCAGCTCGAGCTCGTACTTCAAATCGTATACCTACACGCGAACTCGTTGTACGATGGCGCGATAGTCCAGATCCAGCACTTGATGATACCTTCCTAATACCTACTGGTCAGACGCGTAGCTATCCAGCTAGACTCACCTTTCATGGTGGGCTCGAAAGCGGCGTTCAAGGTCGATCAGGTCCATTGCCGAGATACGACAAACTGATTGGTAGCTCGGAACATTTGGCGAGGGCCTCTTTACCAGGCGATCGGTGGATTGCCGGGCTCGACCAGGGTATGAGTGGGCAGTTGGCGTGTGAGTTGACTCGGTAAGTATCAGAAGACCCTGATTCTCCTGGTGTATGGGATGAAGTCCGCCTATCAGATCACTGACTTGCCCACCATATTTTCGTATGAGTGTTCGACCTCGTGGTCGTCGTGCTTGCATCGACAGGTCCTCCTGCCTCTCTGGGAAACCGCCCGATCGCTCTCTGGTAAACTCAACAGCGGACGAAAATTGCGTAGCGGTGGCCATTCTGTTCGGTTGTATCGCGAGCTTTTGTTAAATCTGCAGGCTCTCTTTACGTAGTGAAGATGATGTCTCCAATTGTTTGATGCTTTCTTTCTGCTTCATAGTAGCAACACATCCCACACTGTGTCTCGGCTCTCAACCACATCGGAATTCGCAATCACGAGTGTGACAGAGCCCTGCACATGGACGGGTAGGACTTCTAGCGTAGATATGCCGGATAAATTAAGTGCAGCAGAAGCTTGTCGTTGCTTATCAGTTGGCGTGTGACTTGGCAAGGATTGGTGTGGTAGTGCTAGTACAGGATAGGAAGTTCGTGATAGGTGTTACCCGGCGTGCACACCTGAAGGGTAACAAGCTTTCTATCTGCCAAGTTAGCTTGCGAAAGCTTGTTCACGGCGAAATGCTTGAGTTGAGAAGGTGTGGTGGCTGGTGTTGAGAAGGATGGTTCGAATTAGACAGGAGGACGGTCCGATCGGAAAGACCCGCGGACATTGCGCCATTGGGTTCGGCTGAGCCTCGGCATTACGAGCCAGCCGCACAAACAGCCGGACTGCGACATCGTTGCAACGCCATTCAGACCTGAGTTGTACAGATCATTATGTGGACGACATTCTATTCTGTAGCAGAGGATAGCAAAAGTTCATAACGCGTTACTGCATACGCTGTAGTTGTAAGTCATGAAAGAAGAGGTATAGAAAGAGATGTACGCATGATTGTAAGATCTGGCATGGGTAAACAAAAGGTATCAAAAGCGATGTATATTTCAAGTCAGGATGTGGCATGTCATTCTTGAGATATGGAGACCTTGTCGGCGTCTACCTAGTACATCAGTCCCTTCCCAAAGTCGCCCTTTCCATCGCCTCAGTGAGGAAGTCCTTCTGCACATCCTGAACAATCTTCAGAGCATTAGCTACTGTGATCCAAGGCTTCCTAACCTCATCAGGCAAAGCCTGCTCGACCACACCGTCCTCGATATCGACAAGAAGGTCTGTAACCGGGCTCTGATCCATCCGGACAGGCTTGGTATCGACAAACACGCCTGGAACAACCCCATCCTTGTTCCATTCCGCCTCCGCCTCCGCCTCCGCCTCCTTCCGCTGCTCCTCCTTCTTCATCTTGGCGAAGACCCAGTGCAGAACCAACATGGGACCTTCCCTCTCGAACACGTCGCGGGGTACCTCGTTCGAAAGGACCGCCGCGTAGAAGGACTCGGGTCGAATAGTCGTCAGCTCGGACACCATCTGCTTCAGGTGCCACACTGCCTTGAACATGTCGCGCCTTGCTTTCTCGGGGAAGTAGACTAGATCGAAGCCGCTGTTCATCCAGAGCCGAACAAGTTCCTCCTGAAAGGAGTGCTCATGGACGTCCAGGCCGCAGGTCTTGGAGAGCCAAGCCTCAATGTATGCGGAGATGAAGGCATCGGCGCCGGTATCGTAGAGACTGCTCGCATCGAGGCCGAGTTGCTTGGAGATCATGATGAAGGCCATGAGGAGGATGTTGAGGCGTACGACGTCAATCCGATTCGATAGGCAATGTTGCTTCGAGACCTGCAGTGGTAGGGGTACGAAGTCAGTAAATGTCTCACATGCACTTCGTACAGCCAGAGCTTACCTCGTAGTACCAGATCGCACGATTGACTTCCAGAGACTTGGAGGAGTGGGCGCGGTAATTACCGCGGGCGATCTCATTGAAGTTGCGGAAGAAGAAGTCCAGCTGTAGGTGTTTGGGGATACTGGGGATCTCCAACATGCTGGGGTCGTTCTCGTAGACATCGTGAATGCCGATAGGTTGATCGAATACCGATTCATGTACCCTGGAGAGCTTGATGTTGAAGTTGTTGCGCGCCTTTGCGTCAAGAGCAGCGAAGTTGATGGTGCTGGAGGAGTTCGGGCTCGCCATGGTCGTTGTCCAGTGCAGTCGCAGTCGCAGTAGCTAGATGGTGGGTTGATGGGAGAGGAAAGAAGAAGAGTCGTGAGCGTAGAGGCATTAAATATTAAGATTGCGGAGGTGAGCGCGAGTTGACCGTATCTTGCGGTCGAGACGCGGAGAGGAAAAGTGGGGCTGAGGTGAGAGAGCAAACAGCTTCTCGCGAGAAACCGCACACTCACCTCTAAAGTGCAAAAAGAGAAAAGAGCAGTAAACTGAATTAACTGTCGCTTTTTACATGTCTACAGAAGCATAGCAAAATAGATATCATCGCCAAAAAAAACTTTCCAATGAAAGCGCACCCAAGAGGCCGGTCAACTGCCTGACAGCTCGCTCTCTGTAGAGACAGCTTACCGTTAGACTAGACCAGCGATTTAACACTATCAGAGGTCAGAGGACAGAATCGAACTGCCGTACGGGGCAAGTTACTTCCTAGGAAGCGGCTCACCAGACCATTGAGGATCAATATCATCGATGGGAATTAGTCTAAATTTGTGATATATATAGCCTGAGACCTGCGCTTCTATTACTTGTGATATTATAAGAGTAGGAGATGGGTATGATGGGGGCTGTATGGCTTTGGTAGGTGAGAGCAAGGTGTGAGGTGAAGGTGGAAAGGTGAAGGACAGGACAAGTCGCACGTGGGATGAGGTTCAAGACGAACACCAACAACAAACACAACACCAGCCCACGACAGTCAGCGAATATCGGAAACCGTCCGATTCGCAATAGTGCAGCGACGATTTAAACAACAGAGTTGTGCGGAATGAGAGGGAGGAATGTGGGGGATTTGGCTGAGCTTCGTTCGATCAGAACGCCATGGCTACGAGCGTGCGGCGTAGCAACCGCAGCGTCA